TAAATACAAACCTTCATCGTCAACATTTTCGGACGTTCTATTAATTTGATATAAAAAATAAAAAGAAATATGCTTAAAAACAAATTAAATAAAGGTAATAGACATGTTAATACATAAATAATGTAAACGATTAAATTGATTAAACAGGATACAACCTACTTGAAAGATGATGAAACGAAAGATGATGAAAGAACGAATAAAGTAGAAACGTGCTTCTTTAAAGGTCTAGAAATTCCAATCTCAAAACTCCCGAACAGAAGAAAAACTAACATCGCACAAACAAAACTGCGCATCACCAAGCGCAACAAAAGTAAAAGCGAATTTAACTTTGGATAGTATATTCAATTAACGAATTATATTATGATTAGCAATTTTATTAAATGTCTAAAACTCAATATTATATTTATTGTACGCGGCTAAATCATTAGCAACTAATTAGTTTATCTAATAATGTGCAGTAAACATACCTGGACGTATGAGCCAACTTGTCTTAACTCCATTTTTTGTGAATGAGTTAAATACAAATTTAATATTTGTTGCATATTCCGTCTGGGCCATATAGCTTTCTAATCGTTATTTATTGCGGTTTAACAGGAAACCGCAATCAAATAAGTTTTAAATCCATTTTATGAGCCAAAAAATCCTAAAATAGTTTTTCTACTATACTATCACATTTTGCTCCCAAAAACGTTTTAAATTGGCTATAAAGGGTTCATAGTTTTTAACGTGACATAATTTCTTGTTTGTAAACTAAGCTGACCGGACCCGGGTCTGGTTAAGTTTGGTCAACACAGACCATTATTTGTATGGCCTTTTTATTTCAATAATTTTCAGTAAACGGTAATTTGCTACCATTTACTAAAATTCCTTTTGTTACTCGAGATTTAATTTTATTAAATATTTCGATACTAATAAAGATGTTCCTCCCCTCTTTTTGCTTTAATGGTTATCAGGTGAGTAGAGTTATTTTTATAAAGAGTAATCAAGTTTTTGATGAAGACCATTTACCATAATAATAAAATGTAAAACAACGATTTACATATATAAGATTTTTTTCTTTCCTCAAAAGTGTTGCAAATCCAGACTTAGCTAATTAATTAGTTAAACACGTTAATAAAACTTAAGTAACTCGATATTTGGCAAATGCGCAAAACTACAATATTTTCCATGTTTTTAAAGGTTTTTAATTTGTTTTTAGTTACGACCGTTTACAAAGATCCCCTAAGATACGTACAACAAATTATTAGGAATAAAATAGAGAAAATATAAAAAAATTGAACTAAATGCATATATTGATATCTTGTTAACTAACAAAATTTGCAATAAAAGGAAATCAGGTTTTTTTTTTTATAAATCGTATAAATACGTCATGTCGTAAGTCTAAAATATAAAAAGTAATGAATTATGATATCATAATTACAAACTACTATCTAATTATGATATCGTAATTAAAAACAACTCGCCCTGGTCTATCATTACGTTCGTTCGCAATGTTGTTAACATGTTCATGTAAGGCATCATACTGCTCGCTTCTCAGTTTATTTTGATTATTTCTGATAAAAGCAAGACGCGGCCCTTTAATTTTTACATATGTACCTACAGCATATTGCTGAAATAATTTCTTGCCATAAAATAATGAACAGAAAAATTGCCTCACAGAAAGTCTATAATTGTAGAACTAAGATAATGTAACATGATTTATAACCAGTGTGGGACGCTCAGGGTTATGAACTAACTGATTAAGCCAACCAGCATCACCTCTTGGAAAAAAGAGAGGATAAATCAGAGGATCTAAGTTGGCTGACATATTTAATACAATTTTTAAAGGATGACCTCTTGGGCAAATAACTTCCCTGGAAGTTGGGGAGCACCATCTTCGCAAACAAATACAACTGCAACTTCATCGTGTGAAGGTAGATTATATCGACGTCTATCACCCCCTTCAAGTAAAGACATTTTTACAACAGAAGCTTGGCGACCTTCTATAGCCGCTGGACGAATTTCTTCATCTTCTACTTCAGCCATGTTTTTAAATGCAAGAGCAAATGGACTTTGTTCAGTAATTATAGTTTGCAATTGAAACATTAAATCACGTAAACAAAAATCATTACCACGTTGTTACATTCTAAAATTTACTGCTGCAAGTGGATCATATATAGTTAAGAATATATTGGTGGAATATCTTGTTCTGGCCTAAGATTACCTACACGATAAAAAATCTGGCCACATATTTTAAAACATGGAGGCCCATGATTTATTGGTTGAACTACATTTGCTGTAAAAGAAGCAAAAGAAAGACAGGCATTGTAATTTCGAATATGTTTTAAAAAATTGACATTAGCATTACGATCTACATAACTCCCTGTAAATAAATCCTGTAAAGCTTGTGTAAATGGTGAAAGTAGAGGCAAAGCTACCTTACCATTATGGCAACATAGAAAATGTGTTTCATCTGGAAATTTCTTAGCCCCACATTGCTGACAAATTTGATTCATTTCCCCTAAATGATTATAATCTGGAATAGCATTACTTCTTGCTTTAGAATACATTCGTCCTTGTCCAACAGCTCTTCTTACATTTTGACAACGATTAATTTCATTGCGCCTAGCTCTATCTCTATCATTTCTGCGATGATTATTTTCAACTCGCCTAACAGCATCGTCCACATTCAAGTTCAAAATATTTACTGCTCTTCGAGCAGCATTTCTTTCATTTCTGCGACGATTAATTTGATCGCGCCTACCTCTATCTCTATCATTTCTGTGTTGATTATTTTCAACTCGCCTAAATTCATCGTCCAAATTTAAGTATAAATTATTTTGTGCTCGTCGAGCAGCATTTTTCTAACATTTTGTAGTTGATTAATTTCATCTTGCCTAGCTCTATCTCTAGCATTTCGGCAACGATTATTTTCAACACGCCTTAGAGCATTTACATCATTTTGTAAATGCATAACTTCATTTAGCCTATCATCCATTTCAATGACGTTACTTTCATTAAACATATATTATTAAAAGTAAGACAAATTTATTAAAATCCTTATAATTTTTCGTACTACTCTAAATTGCACAATAGAATAAAATAATTTATTAAATAACTAAAAAATTTTTGCAAACAAAATTAAAAGACAAGTTATCGAAACAAATATAAATATTTTTCCTTGTAGTTAAAACATCAAATCTATAAATAGATCAAATATAAAATAAAAAAAATAATAATAAATGTTTATTAATCTATTAAGAGCAAAAAAAAAAACGTGAATAAATGTGAAAACAAAAAAAAAAATCAAATGCAGTTTCCTTATAATATATAGTCTATATGATATATAAACCTCTATAATTTCATTGGTTCAACAACTGAATTATGATTAACCGCAACTCTGGAAACATAAATTTTCTAATAATCTAAATCTAAATAAATTAACAAATTAAAAATAGAAATGTAAGCAAATGCTTACTGCTACTATCAATAGTATCTAAATAAATAAATCTATAGTATTTAAATAAATAAATCTATAGTATCTAAATAAATAAATCTATAGTATCTAAATAAATAAATCGATAGTATCTAAATAAATAAATCGATAAAATCCAAATAAATCTGCAGTATTACTATAGAGTATCCATATATTATCCATATATTACCATAGAGTATTTACATATTAAATAAACCAACATACAATATCAAAATTGTACTTATGAACAAAATTCATTTATTCAATAAAAGTTATAAAATATTTATTGAAAAGCCAAAAAAGTTGTTGTGAAAAGTTGCTCGAAACCAAAGTAAATAAAGAGTAAAAAAAATGGTAAATGGTTAGGGTATAAACACACCAAAAGTTTAAAACAAACAAACATATACAAAACGTTTAAAAAGTTCAGAAACTATCAGCGAGTATGTTTTAAGGAGCCGTAACTAACTATCGAACAATAGTAACGACGTTAAACGGTAAACGTCCACTGGGAGAATTATATTAAGATTCCAATAATGAAACTAAATTAATCATTTTTAACAATAGACACCACGTGAAGGTAAGCTAGAGCCGTCTATCAAAAAAAATTTTGAAAACTACACAACTTGCTGTACCATATTTGCAAGCTACATAACTTGCCGTACTCCTTTTGCAAGCTACAGAACTTGCTGTACCATATTTGCAAGCTACAGAACTTGCGGTACTTCTTTTTGCGAGCTACATAACTTGCTAATAGTGGCCCCTAGTAATAGTAAATGCCACCATTCACAACAAAGCCGCCACCATTCCAGCTTCGCTCACAACCACCTCCACGGCTTCCCCTTCTGCTGTAGCTCCCAGCACCTCTGTTTGCACCATCATTCCCTCCTAACCGGACCCACCGCAAATATGATCGATTGCTAATCGGTCCAGGGTGCTGGTCTCTATATCTCTTATAGGCACTGTAGGCAAGCTCTAAATGACAATAAATTGTAACTACATTAGTACTGAATGGCAATAAATAACATAAAATTGATTGGCTGCATTAATAAAAATAACAAATAATAAATTAATAATAGCTTTAAAAATGTTAATGAAAGTAAAAAATTAATTATGAAATTAAATTAATTAAATGCTCTGGATTTTACTTCTACTGCACTTTAAAAGATAACACAATACAAATGTATTAATTAGTGAATATAAATGAAAAAAATATAATGAATTAAATAATCATTCAGAAACATTTCTAAATCATAAATTTACCAGCAGAAGGTTGTGGTAGTTGTTGTGGAGGTTGTGGGACTAAAGTTAATATTTTTTAAAAATAAAATAACAATTTACTTGTTATCGATAAGATATGCATACACATATTAGAAACAATACTTTTACACATGTATATTATGCATACACATATTAGAAAATAATAATTTATAAACTTACCACTTGTAGCAGCTGAAGATGTAACTAAAGGTTAATAAATTTGAAATAAAAATAAATATTGTTATTGCCAAGAAATGCATAAACATATTGAAAAGTTAAAGTTTGTAAGCATACCAATTATTGCAGATGTAGATGGCACTAAGTTAAAAAAGTGTAATAAAAAATAAAAATTGCAATTGATCCGAAATACATACATACATGAACATGTTTTTTGAAGGATGAAATAAAAACATTTTTAAGCTTACCACTCAATGCAATTGAGGATGGAACTAGAGCTAAAAAGTTTTAATAAAAAATAAATTTGCAATTGTCAAGAAATGCAAAAATTAAAAATTAATAATTGCTAAATTTACCACTCATTGCAGATGAAGATGTTGCTAAAGATAAAAAAAGTAATTAAAAAAAATAAAGATTGCAATTGACGACTTTGAAATTGGTATTAAATCTATTCACAGATTAAAAAGTATTAGCTTTTAAAATAACTAGCTACAGTTAGTTAATAACTGATACAAGGAGTGAAGATCAAAAATAATATAAATTAAACCAAGATATGCATTCTTATATTTGATAATCTAGTTATCCTATACAAACTTGCCAGTGGTAGGCTGGGTAGATTGAACTAAAAATAACAAAAAAAAGTATATAATTACAACAAAACACTATAAAAAGAAAGAAATCATAATTCTGTGGAAAATGCAACAACTGTATTAACATAATGAAAACCAACAGTGAAAATGTAAAGAAAATATATTAATAAACAACAAGCTAACATTAAGAATGGTTATTCATTTTGATATTATATGTATTATATGTTATATTGTTATATTGTTATAGAGTTATTATACGTTATTGTTATAGAGTTATTATACGTTATATTGGTTGTGGTTATATATAAAATATGTGATTTATACTTACGATATCTCAAAAAGGCTTCATAATGTGCAGCAAGATCTAAACAACATGTAAACATTAGGCATGCTTGTAATATGATTTAAATAATAATCCACAGATAAATAAGTATACAATCCATAAATAATAAAAGCTGATAATAAGATGATAAGTTTTATTATATTTAAAAATTACTAAAAAGCCTTTTGCAAGGAATAAACCAATGAATTATCTTATTTGTATGTTGTGTCATAATAAAATTGACAACAGATACTATTAGTTAACAATACATTCGAGAGCAAAATTTTAAATTAAAGCATTAATCTTCTTTTTTATGTAACATATAAAAACAGATTAAAAATTAATCTGTTTAGATATCATATAAAAAGAGATAAATTATATAAATTATATTACATAAAAAAATAATTTTAAATCAGAAAATATTCATAAATGATTTATGAGTATTTTTTGATTTAAAGTAGTTATTATTGATAGTATTATAAAAAAAGTTAAATTACTATATGTTATAGATTCAACAAAACTTCTGTCAGAATTCATTTTTTATTTCAATCTAATATTAAAAATCAAAACAATACGATATTAGGATTTGTTTTTTTTTTTTGTGTAGTCGACCCCCTATCCACCCCCGTATTAAGCTTAACAAAAAAAACAACAGAAAAACTAAAATTATGTTGCAAAAGTCTAACACTGAGTATACTATCTGCTACCAATTATTTTTTGTTGATTTTTGGCATGTGCTAAGAAAATGCATGTAAAATATAGGAAAACGAACAAAAAAAGCCGGATCAACATTCCTTCGACAACTAATTAATGTGAGAACAGGGACAAAATTTTTATGCAATATTGTCAGCAAAATAATCCATAAAAATGTTGGGTAACCATACATAAAAGTCATATAAAAATCTAGATCAACCTTTCTTCTTTATGAAAATAAATTATGTTTATGCATGTTTCTTAAAAGAAACACACAAAAAAAAACGTTTGCCTAAGGCTTCCTAAAATAAGTAGTATACTTAATATAACACATTTTAAACTATCTGCTACCAAGTATTTTTTGTTGGAATTTGGCATGTTCATAGAAAATGTATGAAGAAAATTGTCTGCATAAAAAAAAAACAGATCAACATTTCTTCGATTACAAATTCATGTGAGAACATCAACCAAATATTCGGAAGCGAAATAATCGATAAAAAAGTGTGATAAAAATTTCTTAAATTAAGCAATATTAGCTTTTCTTCTTTCCAAAAAGTATCTATGTGTATATCTGTTTCTAAAAAGAAACTCCACAAAACTACGTCTGCCTCACGCTGCCTAAAAAAATACGAGAACCAAAATTTTAGCATAAAAATCGGTTGCGTAAATCGCGATATCCGCGTACCTATATTTACATATGTATATATATTTATTTATAAATAAGTATAAACACATGTTTGCATATAGAAATATATATATATATATATATATATATATGTATATATATATATATATATATATATATACATATATATATATATATATATATATATATATATATATATATATATATATATATATATATATATATATATATATATATATATATATATATATATATATATATATATATATATATATATATATATATATATATATATATATATATATATATATATATATATATATATATATATATATATATATATATATATATATATATATATATATATATATATAAGGGTAGATCGATTTTTTAAATTTTTTAAATTTGATTTGCCTAAGCTGCGAATCGATGTCATTGGTGACAAAAGAACCTTACTTTTTTTTTTTATTTTAAATGAGTTTTAGAGGTTCCTCTTTGGATTCTAAATGCTTGACGGATCCTAATATTTTTGAATTTTTTTTTTCTTCTAACCTGGTACTCAAAGGAAGCAGAATAATACGCTTATTTTGAATATAATATTTGTTTTAATTTAAAACAAAAAAAAAAAAAAATAATGTCGTTTTTTCATTAAAAAACCCCCGTCTTCATCAAAACGGGGGTTTTAAAGTATATTTTTGCAAATATTTTTTCTCACTAAAAATTTTTTATTTATAAAATTATTATTGGTAAAACAAGCATTTTTTTTCTGCTTTTTTTGAGTCCAAGGTTGATATAGTTTAGAAAAAAAGAATTCAAAAATATTAGGATCCGTCAAGGATTTAGAATCCACAGGGGAGCCTCAAGATCTTATCAAAATCAAAAAATATTTTTTTACTTTCATCTTATAGTTAATAGACATCGACTCATGTCTCAGGAATATTGATTTTTAATGTATAAATAAACATTAAAAATCAATTTATTTTTACACAAAATAAACCACCTCTATTGATTTTTTCAGTACATGTTTTTGTATAGTCTAAAATAATTTCTCATATCAAACTATCGTTTGAATTTTGTCGTCATGATTATAGTAACTTAAACAATATTTTGTATTAAACAATATTTTGTATCTCTTTACAAAAGGGATTTTTTTCTTCTTGAGTAGTCAAAACAAGATCTTCTTTAACTAAATTTTCATTATCTTGCTGATTGTTTCTCCATGAAAGTTTTCCTATAATTTGGTTAATATAAACTATTAAAAAATGTGTTGTTTATTTATGTACTCTTTCGACCTACATAATTATACTGCACTTTATTTATTTTTTTCAGCTTTAATTTCTATAAACAAAGTTAATAATCAATGCAAAATGATTTTTTTTAACTGAGTTAATCAAACTGTTAAACTGCAAGACTGAAGCAAAATGCTACTTTTTTTCATTAAGTATTATAAATTCCATATAAAATGCTAATTAATTCTACGTAAAGAATATTATTATAATTCAATGCAGTTAACATTGTTTTCAAAGTACGGTAAATAGTCAATTTCAAAATATTTGAACGTTAGTTTTTAATTTAATAAAAAACTCGATAAAGTTAAACAAACTTATAAATCTGTGCAGTAAATTGCAAAAAATTCTTTAATGATGATTTAGTTTTTGTGAGTGTGAAAATTTGTTTATTACTAAATTTTTAGATTTCTCAGACGTCATTTTTTCAAGATATTTTAGAAGTGACATTTTTTGATTACGGATTATAAATCACGCTGTTGAAATTGTCTCTTTTCTATACATAATGGCGACATGACGTTTAAACGTTTTTGGCCCATATTTAATATTAAAGTCTTTTTTAATGAGATTAGAAGTTGAGAGAATGAAAGTTGTCTTATAAATAAAGAATGAAAGTTCTCTTATAAATAAAGTTTAAAATGTGCGTATTGTTGAAGTTCTTTTTCATATTTATATTTGAGTTCAGTTAAGTTATCTAATATCTCCATACCTATTGCTTAGTCTTAATTATGAGTTTGATAAGTTTTAGTAATAATCTGAAATAATGTTCAATATAGCTTACTACTTTCCTAGCGAATCGAATATGCCAACTGTGCAAAAAAAAGATTAATTTTAGTGATGCTCGGGTACCTCAAGGACTCTGCAAATTGTGTTTAACAATTTTGTGCACGAAACAAAAGGAGAATAAAATTATAGCCTCTCCTTTGTTTAAATTTAGTCAATAGAAGTGAGCCCTAAAACTTAAGTCATAATTTGTTATTGCCTAATCTGCCAAGTGCTCATAGCTGCACGTAAAACATCCTCCATGAAGAACAATTTACTATTGAGAAAAAACTAAATGAATGTTGCAGCACATGCCTCCGCACTTCATATAAAAGTTTGCACCACCAATGCTCTCAAGTAAAGGTCAGAGATATCCTTTAATTTTTAGCAGCAAAACCTTAGCAGCCGAACTAATTGAATCTCGAGTTATTTCCAATAAGGAAATATAATATGTGGTCTTTAAAGTAACCTTGTACATTGTGTGACGTCGTTTTAGTGATTTGCCAAATCTAGAAACTTGTTACCACAGGACTCAATCAAATTTAGCCTCGAATTTTTTCAGCAATCTTGCGGGGTTGTTGTGTTGTTCACAGTTGTTCAGCAATGTCATTCGAAAGCCAATCATCACTGGGCCTGAAAATGTTGTAATTTTAAAAATAATCTCATTAATGGTATTGCTCTTAATTGGTAATCTCATTAATGGTATTATAAAATTAATGGGATTCCTTATAGGAGTTGTCAATCATCTTTTTAAGAAACCTAGAGCAATATTACTCCCATGTAGCTAGTAATATTGGCGCGATATTGGTGTCAGTTTTTGCACTATATTAGAAAACACAGTAGCCTAGTATAACAATCCAAAGGTTTTAAATATATATTTCCTTTATTATTTTTGTGATATCCGTCCAATATTAATTTCATATATTGGCGCAATATTAAAATGCAACAGTGCAATTTTGCTGGCTATACTGCCCCAATATAACAATAAGAACATTTTAACATTTTGCGCTTTGGAGAAAATTTTCGCGCGCAAAAGTCCTTTAAACAGTGTTGATAAATAAAGCTAGCGGAAAACCTTGATAAAAGTTGGCTAAAATAAAAGCTCAACAATGCTGAGCTTTTTAGCGTAAAGTTCTTTGCTCCTACATTTTTATCCCATAGAAAAATTGAAAATTATCACATGATAAAGAAATTTTGTTTACAAAAGACTGTGAAATTATAAAATTACCAGATATACATGGGATACAAATATATTAGTTCAAAATTATGCTGTTTAATAAAAATGCCTAATTAGATATAATAAATCAACTTTAATTGTTTAAATTCATTTAAAATGGAAGTAATTAGGTCTAGTAGTAGTAATTGGGTAATTAGGAATACTTTAATTGTAAAATGTTATAAATATTTAGCCATAATATATAACCGTAACTTAATAAAAATTTACTTCAATGTTAAATTGATTCTGATTTTTCAATTAAGTTTAAAAGGAAATTAATAATGGAAGTTAATAAACGCGAGGAGCATAACAACTTAGTGTGGCTAGTTTATTGCCTAAACAGAATACCTACATTTTAGTTTTGCTTCAAAATCAAAAACATTCCCCGTAACCTCTTTTATCGCATTCATCAATTGCAACCCTGCAAGATTCATCGCCAAAGTTAACAATATCTCCACCAATTATGTGCTCCAAAG